GTTTAGGGTTTAGGGTTCAGGCGGCGAGGGGTGTTTATTGGGGTTGGCTGGTCTACAGCTGTACGACAACAATCGGTTTGAGGACAATGCTGCATTAAGCTCATGGCAAATAATATGATAATTAGTGACGAAAGTAACGACGGTTGCGATGCTCATGATCTTCTTGCTGACAATGGTGAGTTTAGGGTTTAGGGCTACTGGCACCGGTCGTGATGGTTAGCGAACTCAAACCTAAAAATGAAAAAACAACTTTGGCAATGCGGGTGCGTGCACTGTGATCAGACGAGACGCCACAGCTATACCAGCATAGTGTAAACCCGACTGACCACCTAGGACCTGCCAGGGAGAATCAGGAGATGCGCCACATCGCGGAGCTCGACTTCGGGAGGCGGACCGCATCATTAATATTAATTGCCGTAGGAGCACGACGACCATGGTGCAAGCATGTTTCGGAAGCTTGTGTCGCATCGTTTTGTGGTGATGTGGAAAGACAGCAAGCGGAAACCATGCAGATGCTCAGCCTGGTGATGATGATCACAATGCTGAAGCACCGATGAGTTCTTCCGCTGATGCTGTCACCGTTTCAGTTCGAAAATGGGAAGTCCTCTTCTGCTCTTTCCCTTCTACAGCCTTGTTTCCGAGTCGACAATCCTGAGCAACCCTGAGCCCGAAACCTACCGATGTGCGTCTTCGGAAATGAGAGAAAGACCACAACATGATAAGATAGGCGCGAAATGCACCCTCAATATGAAGTAGGATGATCTGTAGTCAGCTGCCTCTTCCCCCCCCCCCCCATATTGTCTGAAAGCTCTGAAGCAGAAGATCAGGTATACCGACGCCTTATAACCCAAAGTGCCATTGCACAACGGTCCATGTGCAAACACTTAGATCTCAAAGGGCTTCCTAGATGTGTACTAAACATACTAGATGAGAACATGGATCCCTACTAGCAGATTGAACCAACCTTGACAACAGCATACCATTGAATCCTCGTCAACCCTGCTTGCCGCAACCCTCAGCCCTGCACCCTGAAGTTACGGCTTGGGCGGTTTAGGGTTGAATCATCTGAAACCTTTAAACCTAAGCCCTATCCCCCTGCTTGGATGCTCTCACGTCGAAGCGACGGATGAAACGGAACCCCCGCCCCCTCCTGTAGGCTGAGATTTCCGGGCCATCTAAACAACATAGCCCTAACCCTTCAGGTACCTACTAAAATGGGAACTAGAGGCCCTGGCGCCCTAAAAAAGTAGGTACCTGGGGAGGGTTTGGGTAGGATCCCATGAACCACCGTTGAAAAGGGCCCTCCCCCCAGCACGTCCTGCCCAGCCCTCGGGGCCGCCCCAGCCCACGCTGGCCTCTCCTTTGATACTCCACGCCGCAGCGGTCTCGATGGCCTGCTGCATGTAATGGATGTCTATAGGGTGTAGAGTTTAGGGTTTGGGCTTTTTGAGTTCTTTGCAGGTTCTGCAGCAGTGCAGGAATCCTCGTATGAAGGGTCAAAGGCTTTAGGAATAGTGTTTTGGTTATAGCATCAAAACCTTAATTGCTGCGCTTGTGGATTTTAACGTATTCTTCCTAACTCCGCAGACCGTCGTAGTATGGGTTTAGAGTCTACCTCAAATTACCACCGTATCCGGTATATAAGGAACAGAAATCGACGTTAGACGCTCGGTACGCTACCTTTACTAGCAGCACCATGGTTGCTCCAAACCCATCAAAGTCTGTTCGGCTCAAACACATGGAATCCAAAATGTGGTCCTAGTTTGTATTCCTAAGGGTCCATGTATCCAAATAGTATATACTTTGGCCTTAAAGTGGTCCCTATATAGGTACTTTGGGGCCAATGTATATACTATATGAGTACATGTACCATCAGGGTATTCGAGTTCCAGACTTCAGACTCTGGGTTTCACAAAGTGCTCATGGCCCAAGGTACCGGGCTTCCGGCAGAGTTCTGGGGCGGCTGGGGGCTTAGAGAACAAGTCACGATCTCTCTCAGAAGCTGAGCGAAGGAACGCTAAACAAATTGGGAGACCTAGAGCATGTTCAAGGAGCAGAATCGGAAAACAACAAACACCAACAAGGTCCTCGTAAAGTACCTGTAGTCTCCATTGTAGTTCCTTTTTTGGTTTAGCCAATTCTATATTCAGGATTCTATAAGGTAACCCCAAAAAGGAACTGCAATGGAGCTTATAGGTAATGTAAGTCCAACTCAGGAGGAGGCTCCTTCTCTTGGTATGTTCAGAAGATCTCAAGTTGCCAAACTCTGGTGAAGGCAAAGAGAGTTTGTGAAGGTTTGGCAAACGTGTTTACACGGACGCCATGGCGTTGTCATCAGGTCTTCACATGGCTTTATAAAGGCAGTGTTATGACGCTTGAAAGGACTTGACTGAGGACTTCTGAGTTCTTTGCGCGGCCACATCAATGGCCTCACTCGCCATTGAAGAAGCTCGATTTACAGAGGTGGACGAGTCACTCTCGAACCTCATGAGACTCAAGAAGATAAGAAGGCAGCGGGCCGCGTTGGTCTTAGTATATAGGCCTCAGTAATTAGACTAAGTACGTGCATTGGTCTTCGTATATAGGCCTCAGTAATTAGACTAAGTACGTGTTTCGGCGATTCTGCTATCATTATGTAGGCAGGCCAGAGCAGGAAGATTCTTGACCATTCTTGCCCTGATAAATGTCTTCCAGGCATCGAGACTTTGTGGACCAAAATATGACTCCCTCAATCTTAAACAAAGCTCCCCCAAACCCAAAAGCCCATCAGACCCGCATCTCGAGTCCCAAATCCGTCAGCCATGAAGCTTTATCAAGACAAGTTAAAAGGTTTAGACATATAGCCGTCTAAAGATACAGCATCTTAACCCTGCTAATTCTGTGATAATGTCGGGGGAGGGGAGGGGAAGCGGGTGTCTCTTTTTGCCCCTTTACAGGCCTCTACATACAGCATAAACGCTCAACTATGCAGTTTGGGATTGGTGATTTCTTCGCCCGGACGATGCGAGGGACCTGTTTGGGTGATACTTGCAAAAGCCTTGATACGTACCAGTTCCCAGTCTATAAACGCTACTTTGTGCTGTGCAGCTCCCCTCTCTTTAGACGATCGGTCCGATAGGTAAAACATGACGCTATGGAGATCGCTACAAAACGCAGAATGGAACAATAAATAGCGTTTCAATCGACGAAACAACTTTTAATACACCGAAAGACGCTTATTAAGTACATACTTGGAACCTCTTAGTTGCGAAAGTGTGTTTCGGGGATGGACGTTCATTAAACCCTAAACCCTAAACCCTAAACCACCATCAAGACTTTGTGGACCTGCGAGCTCGGTCCTCTATGGCTTCAGATTTGAGGCGCTCGACTTTGCCTTTCGAGTTTTAGGGCTTGCTCTCCTGTCTGGTGCTCAGTAGGGAATGGGGGAATGGGTTATAGAGACTACTATAAAGGACCTTAAGGGACTACCATAGGGATCCATTCCCCCATTCCCTACTAAGCACCAGACAGTCTCCAGGGCTAGGGGCTTAGGTGGTCATTCTGGGTTCTGTTAGGGTTTAATTAATTTAGAGTATTCGCGGCGGTCTCGGGCATTGAAGTGTGTAGCTTGTAGTGTTAGAGTATCCTGTGAAAGCCGGAATAGAAGGCAGGATGCCCCAATATACTTAGAGAGAAGATATGAAAAGGGTCCATGCGTACTCTACCATCATGGAAAGAGTTCTGCCACGAAAGACCACCCCTGCTCTGGCTTTGGAGGCCATATCCCCAAATGGCAATACCTGTGGACCGTCTTGGATACTTACTCGTAGGTTACCAGTGTTACACTCGTCAACAGGTCACAAGTATGCCGACTCTCCAAGTATCATGTTAAGATTTCTGATAGAGATTCAGGATCTGCGGCTTCGCAGCTTTGGGTGTAGGCCTTAAGCTTGAAGGTTGTGAGTGGCCATACCAGAACAAGCACGTCCGAGCCACTTTGCTTTGATCTTCCAGTACCCTCCCAGAATGACATTGGTGCAAATGTGCGAACCGAACTGCTCCAACCTGGGCGGCTGGAGCACAGTGATGCAAATGTGGACTTCTGAGTGCTGCTCGAACCTGGCCCAAAGATAGCTAGCATTTGCATGCTTCAACTTGTGACCTACGCAAACCCTGGCACGTAGGCCATAAACACAATGCCCAAGACCCTTCACACTAAATCCTAAGCCCTAAACTCTAAACCATCATACCCCGAACACCAAAACCGGACAAGGGCTAGAGCCTCGCACATTCTCAGAGTTTCGTTCATTTTCTGTTTGGAGCGGGTGTAGCAAAACGATTCCGTTTCTAGTGACTTGACTACATTACGCCCCAAGCCGAAAGCTTACAAGCTCAACGATGTAGTATACACTCCAACAATACTACAGTAGAAGCTTAAAAGTTGCAAACCCAGTAGCCTCAATCCTAAAGAGTAATGCACAGGGAGTCCCAGCACTATTTGACCTTAATCCGGTTTCCAACTTTTTGGGGTTTAGGGTAAGTCGTAAGCCTGGCACACTAGTCACTAGGGCTTCGGGTTTATAGATACAGGATCTAACCCTGGAGCCTATGACCCTACTTGCAACCCTGTTTCTTACGACCTGCGATTTGCCAGGTGATGACGTGATAGGACGCGGTACGACATGTTGAACTGCATGTCGTTTGATGCCGGACATATTCGAAGAATACTCTCCAGCAACCAAAACAATTCTAGATCCACCTAGCATTTCCTACTGTCCAGAGCACGTGCAACATACCAAGCACCAAGCAAATTGACCCCACACATCTCGTAGAATAACGGTGGTTCAAACACCGATCAAACCAAACGAGACGAGAGGCAAGGGTGCGACGATGCCAACATACGCCTTGCAAGCAGGTCACCGTGTTTTGAAATCTGCTGGTAGTCTACATGGGAGCTTCCGAAAATAGGGGACCCTCATATAGTACCCTGAATAATGGGATCCTTACTATAAGGACCCCAGAATAAGGTACCCTACCCTACTATAGCACCCTAAATAGTAGGATCCTTACTATAAGGACCCCAAAACAAGGTACCCNNTTTCGGAAACTCCCACATGGAGCCCTGAAGCAGCAGGCTGCAGCGGGCCTGCTTCCTCCCGGCTTCTTTAACCTGCCATTCATGGAGGCTTTGGGCAGGTCATATAAACCCTAAACCCCTAAACCCTAAACCCTAAACCCTAAACCTTAAACCCTAAACCCTAAACCCTAAACCCTAAACCCTAAACCCTAAACCCTAAACCCTAAACCATATAAGGATATTACAAG